TGTTTTATTGCTCTTTAAACTGTGTCTAACTACTATCCGCACCATAAAAAGTTGTAAATTATTTATAAGTTATTTATTTATTTCAACAGAATAAGGTGATGAGAGTGTTGTAAATCAAATCTTCAAAAATAAAGACCAACCGAATGAACTTGGATTATGTATAATCTGAAACACCCTCAACTAAATGTTTGTTTTCGCTATAAACCTGTTCCTCTTGTCATAATTATTTTTGTCAGTCATAATCACTACCCCATTTCTCAAGAAGTATTTTACAATGAAACATTTATTTATAAAAAATAATAAAATTTTATTTAGATTCTGTAGTAATGAGTAGTTAATGAAGTTTGTTTTTCTACTTTCTAAAAGCACAAATATGTTTGCTTTGTGTTGTATTGATGTTACCTTGACAGAGTTCTCTAGCAGTATGAGTCATGTAAAGAACTAGGAAATGTGTACCTGGCTTGAGGTAAAAGTTAAGTGGTCATCTACACCTTATATGTAACCATTATTTGACTATGAATATTGATTTAAAACAGTTTGTTTTAAGTTCTATTTTATATTTTCATTTTGGATATCACAAGATGTGTCAAATTGTTAACAAAGTTGGAAGCCTAGGTTTTCACAAAAACATAACACATAAAGCTATGGGAGTACAGTAAGTTAATCTAATTGTTCTGTATTTCTAACGTATAAGTTTTTAATACGAGTTCCTTTCTATAGGGAAATATGATTTTTTTTTCTTTTTGTCAGTTGGTCACCTAATGTTTTGAATGGGTTGCTGTTATGGACAACTTGGGGACAGCTCCCAAGAAAATTTCTAATTGGTCTGTGGTATGTGATGGTAAGCATATGGATGTTTTACAGCTAACAAACTGTCAATATATTTGAAATGTATGCTAATTCTGTGATGATAAATAATATTCTATCAAAATATGTATCATATTGTTACGTATCTGCTTGTTTGATCATTTCCGGTAGAAATTATTTCTGAGAAACTTCAGCAATACAAGTCCTTTCCTGATTAAACCAGTTTATTCTTTCTCGATACAACTTTTAGTAATACACAGAATTTCCACAGTCACTTTAAACTTAACAACTTTTATAACACACG